CTCAATGAACAGAACCTACATTCTGAAATGCAAAGAAAAGCTATGACTAGGCTCACGGGTCTCCAATTTAAGATTGTATATAAGAAAGGAAAAGAAAACATGGCTGCAGATGCTTTCTCCAGGGTAGCTCACCTCATGGTTGTTCAAGCAGTTTCTACTGTTTAGCCAGTTTGGATCCAAGAGGTCTTGAATTCCTACACCACAGATCCCAAAGCTCAACTGTTGTTGAAGCAATTAGCTGTATCAAGCCCTGATGCTAATGGGTTCAGTCTCGAGCAGGGTCCCATTAGACACAATGGCAACATTTGGATTGGCCAAAATTTAGCTTTACAAATGAAGATCATTGCTGCTTATCATTCAAGTGCTTTGGGAGGCCACTCAGGTATGACACCTACCTACTACAAACTAAGGAAGCATTTTGCTTGGAAGGGTATGAAGCAGGATGTAGAGAGTTATATCAAGCAATGTTCAGTTTGTCAACATGCTAAACATCCATTACAGCATCCAGCAGGCCTGTTGCAACCCTTGCCTGTGCCAGAAGGAGTTTGGAGAGATGTTTCTACGGATTTCATAGAGGGTTTGCCCAAATCTAATGGGTACAATGTCATTTTAGTAGTTGTGGACAGGCTAACTAAGTATGCCCATTTTATTCCTGTGAAGCATCCTTACACTGCCAACACTATTGCTAAGGCATTCCTGGATAATGTGGTGAAGTGGCATGGCTTACCAAATTCTATTGTCAGTGACAGAGACACAGTATTTGTCAGTCACTTCTAGATAGAACTGTTTAAGCTGTACAAAGTCAATTTAACTCTAAGCACAGCATATCATCCTCAAACGGATGAACAAACTGAAAGAGTAAATCAGTGTTTAGAAATGTTTCTCAGATGTTTAGTGCAAGACTCTCCCAAGGCCTAGAAATCTTGGCTTTCACTAGCAGAATTGTGGTATAAGTCCTCCTATCACAGTTCACTAGGTTGCTCACCTTGAAAGGCTCTTTATGGGTATGAACCAAATGTGGGTGCAGTACCTCAAATACCAGAAACTACTTGCCAATCAGTAGCTGAGGTCATTAAGAACAGAGAACTTCATATGCAATCCCTCAAGCAAAATCTGGCATGAGCTCAGAATAGGATGAAGCTGATGGATGACAGAAAACGCACTGACTGTCATTTCAGTGTGGGTGATCAGGTGTTATTGAAATTACAGCCCTACACTCAATCTATAGTGGCCAACCACCCCTTTCCCAAGCTAGCATACAAGTATTTTAGTCCTTATACAGTACTAGAATGAGTTGGATCAGTTGCCTATAAATTGGAATTACCAGAGGGCACTATGATTCATCCTGTCTTCCACATATCACAGCTGAAGCCATTTGTGGTAGACTATACTCCTGTGTTTGATACGCTACCAGTAACTACAGACTTGGAAGCTGCAGTAGTTGTCCCGGACAGGATCATTGATAGGCGTCTGGTCAAGAAAGGGAATACAGCAATTCCTTAGGTCAAGGTTCTCTGGACTAGTCTACCACCATCCGCCGCAACGTGGGAGGATTATAATGTTCTACGGCAATGTTTTCCTGATGCTCAAGCTTGGGGACAAGCTTCATCTTCGACGGGGGGAAGTGTCACAGGTGACACAATGGAACACTGAGCAGGAGAACATTGGTGGAGGCATCTTCCTAATAGCTTGGCGTATTTTCATTATTTACTTTTTTACTTAGTGTCTGTAACGTGGGCCCAGGGCCAAAGTCTTCCCGGCATACATATGCCTGGACATTGTAAGCGAACATCTTATCGAACAAGTAAAGTAAAACACGAACATGCTAAGGTAGGGGCTTTCCTCACTAGCGTCTTCTCCCCCGATCTGTGCCTCTCGTAGTGCTCACATCGATGGCTTGACACCGGCGGCCACGGGTGTTACACTAACTAGACAAGTCGGTGACCATCGGAGCACCAGCATGTCCACAGCCCACAATCTATGTCTAGACCAATGCTACCTACCTCACCAACAACTCTAGCTCCAATGACGATTATAACAACCCCGATCACTTCACCACCCCGTAGCTTCAAGCGCCTCATAGTGGAGATGTCAAAATGACATCGAGTCCTTCTGTTTGACATTGCCATGAACGACTATGACCTCACTGACATCAAGCCCAACCTGACATCGACGATCAGGAGCCAAGTGTATGCGGTTAGCTCACCATGTACCTGGTAGGCGCCATCCTTCGCAATGGAGCCCACATCTACATCGTCATCGGCGCCACACATAACATCATTGACGCCCATATCTAGGTTTGTAGGACTCGCCAAATGTTGCATCGAGACATCCATCATCATCGACAATGGTAGCCATGTCTCATACCATGGAGCCTCCTTCTATGTGCCGATCCACATCGACAACGAGACTTCAATGTACCGCTCCACATCGACAACGAGACACTCCACAAATCCACACCTTCTTGGTGGCTCTTAATGTCCATACATACATCATCCTTGGTATACATTAGTTGGCTTCCTCAATTTCATCTTGTGAAAATTTGCTACACTGAGCTTCAAGAAAGATGACTGCACCGTGGCATTCATAGGAGTCCAGAGTAGGCCAACGCCACAAACTGTCCTAAGACATGCAACTAAACCCGCTTCACTGACGTGGGCAAACATCCATGCAACAATGCCTTTAGCATAGTCTCATCCCGCCTCACCGTATTCACATACATCAGAAAGGCAGTCTAGGAAGTACTGGAGCTTCGCTTCATCGCTGACACTAACCACAGCGGCGCACCCGCCCCGAACATGGTCCATTGATAGCGGAGTTATCTTCTTAGATGGTCGCTTCTACCTTTCAGCATGTTGACCACTACTACCAAACCTCCTAGAGTCCCTTCTCGTCGTAGATATGCACGATCGACTTCGCCTTCTAGCAGCCAACCTCCATGCCCTAACGACAACGACAATGCTACCTACCTTGCCAGCAAACATCGTGGTAACGCAAGAGTGGACACAGTTCCTCGCCATTGACCACGTCTTCCTTGGTCCTAATAACATGAGATGTTGCTTGTCCATCTCGTCACCAACCTACAACTACGACAACATCTTCTTTGGCAAGCTCATCAACATCACCGCTACCTCTCTTGTAGAGCACTACCTTGTGCTTAGGATGCCAGGCTACATCTTTCATGAGCAGGGCTAGGAAGTGTAAGCCATCAACTAACCCCCACCACCGGCAACAATAATGCTACTTGTCAAGATGGGCATTTCCCGTGAGATCATCAATGCCTTGGGGACATCAATTGTTTGCCACAATATGACGACTCCAACCTCCCATGGCTACATTGGGTCACTTTGCTACCAACTCCTCCTCGACAGGACAATCCACAACCATCTCTCGCCCATGGTGGTAAGGCAATTGTAAGTGCACTTGGAGACACGATAGATGGTGGCTCCCCTTCCTCCCGACGACACCTCTAGATGGATTATGGACGCACTAGAAGTCATGGGGGAGTGATGTCATGGGTCCAAATGGGCCCGTTAGTGGTAAGCCGAGCTCTTGAGAAGGGCAGCGACCTCTCCTAGATGGTCGGCCCCTCCTCCCAAAGAGGAATCCATATCCAATTAGAGCTTGAATAAGATAGGAAACAATAAACTCAAATTAGGAAAGATAGAGCTTCTTTAGGATAAGATGAGTCCAATCCAAATCTATAAGGACTCTACGTCTAGTTTTCTTAGGGAACAAGTCATGGGAGTATAAATATAGGATACATGTGCGCATATGGATAAAGCAAGAAGTAGAGGATTGTTCCTCAAGCTCTATGCCATCCTAGCTACCCTGCACCTACCCTCTCCTAGCGTCACTGCCACCCCCTGCATCTGCCCTTGAATACAGGCGACCACGGGCCACCATTGCCTTCCATTCCCTCGTCCTTCTACCTCTGTGCCTACAATCTACGCAACACCTCCTACCAATATAGACCCATCACAAAACCGTATCTGTAGCAAAGGAAGTAGAACAACTAACATAGTATCAGATCCATCTTGGTGAGCAAGTAAACCTCGGCCATGACATGCACCACACCGGGTCATCTGATTTGCTTTATAAAACCCGTGCTCCTGACCAGCATTGCATGTAGGGCATGGTTTCTCTCCACGACCCTCGCAATCTGTCAAAAAAATAAACAACTAATAGCTTTTCAAAAAATGAAAAGAGAAATATGAAAAGAGTGACAATAGTTACCATGTTAGAATTAAAATAAGTGTAAATACATAGCAACAAAATTATGAAGAAGGTACTTGCTAAGGTGCAATGTGAAAAAAGGGACACTTAGCTAGGTGTCCTAACTTAAAACAATTTTAAGATTAGTATCATGCGTGTGTTCTTACAGCCTGTTGGTGGCAAAAGATAGCACAATAGCAGCAATAGTAAGTAGGTTTATGGCCGAATGCACCCATGTTAGTTATTATGACTTCGTATGTGAGGATATGAACTGAAAGGTATTTCCATCATAGAAGCATTCAAAATGCAGGATCAAAAGGCTATAAACCTACATAAGCAAATTAAGTTACTACATGAATGTATTTAATTTGTTAAAGGAAAAATTAGGTTTCTGCCACTGCGTTAATTACGGTGTCGATATTTTCCATTGCTCTTTTGTAATATTAAGACTCATGCCGTTCGTTTATGCCACTGCTGTATCAACTTTAGTGGCAAAACTTGTTACAGTCTTGCCACTACAAGTGGTACAATAGTGGTGTAAACATAACAGGTTTTTACACAGTGGTGTCATGAATCCAAATATTACAAAAACAATGTCAAATATCATAACCGTAATTAACATAGTAGCACAAATCTAATTCTCTCATTAAAGGAAAATCAGAGGGCACTGAAAGCAAAATACATATAGTACCTGAGCATTTTTCAATAATATCTGAATGTGGAATCTTGACCATCACTTCTTCCTCTGGTACAAAAAGTGCAGGAAACTTAGACCTCAAATCTAGTTACCACAATCCAAGCAAAGGACCTTTTTCTCTTCCATCTATACTCCCACTTTTGTAGGGTTCCTTTTTTGTAATAATGTGCCTTTCCTCGATGAAGGTTTCCAAGGTGCCAACATAGACATTGCAGTCCTCAATGGAGGTAATTTTCCATGTGCGGGCAGGGTGACTTCCCCAACAGCATCGATGTCCAATATGGTCAATGAGCAGCTGTCGGATCTCCACCTCATCCAGTACATCCCTATCAGTAGATCCAACCATTCCATTGTCAGCATAGAACAACAGTAGTGCCAACAAAAAGACAGGATCCCAGGACACAAGGGAAGGGAAAATGATGCGCGGGAAGCAACAGTGCACTTGTTTTTTAATGGGGAAACGATGGTAGTTATTTAATCTATTTAAGCTCAGTGCAAAACTGGTAGCTCCTGTTCTTGACACCATTTAACAGTTTTAGCCTTCAGGTACTCCATCAAGCCAACTGATAACGTGAGTTCCCTGGAGCCTTCAGCCTTCTTTTATCAACACATCATCCTTCAACTGCATGGCCGATTATTCCTACTCCAGTCACTACTTGCTGTATACTTGAATTTGCTAGAACTCTAGTTGTAGAATTCAATTACTGTCGGTTAATTTAGGTCAGTTATTTTTAAATTCCTTTCCAATATAACAAATTGACCTTTTAGCTTTTGTCATAAGTCCTGGTGCAAGTTGTACATAAATGTGTTAGCTGGTTGTTAAAGGGAGACGTGCAACTAGAACATCTGAACTACTAGTGTTTCCAATATTTCATGTTTTCTAATCATTATGGAATTTACAGGTGTACTGCGTGACCCTCGTCAAGGACATGTACAATAATACAGTGACTAGTTTTCGAACAAATGAGGGTATCACAGCTTACTTCCCGATTAAAATAGGACTTCATCAAGGGTCAGCCTTGAGCCCGTACCTCTTTGCTTTGGTAATGGATAAGGTTACCAGGAACATTCAAGGGGATATCCCTTGTTGTATGTTGTTCGCTGATGATGTAGTGTTAGTGGACAAAAGTTAGGCAGGAGTAAATAGGAAACTAGAGTTGTGGCGGGAGACCCTTGAGTCTAAAGGTTTTAGATTAAGCAGAACTAAAACCGAATATATGAGATGTGACTTTGGCGGAGCTGCATAGGAGGAGGGAGATGTGAGTTTGGAAGGTCAAGTAGTGCCTAAGAAGGACACCTTTCGTTACCTAGGATTGATGTTCCAGAGAGATGGAGATATTGATGCGGACGTTAGCCATAGAATCAAAGCAGGGTGGATCAAGTGGCGACAAGCTTCTGGCGTTCTTTGTGACAAGAGGGTACCAAAAGCTAAAAGGCAAGTTTTATAAAACGGCGATTAGACCGGCTATGTTGTATGGAGCAGAATATTGGCCTACAAAGATTCATCATGTTTAACAACTGAGTGTTGCAGAAATGCGTATGTTGCGATGGATTTGTGGTCACACAAGAATAGACCGAGTTAGGAACGATGATATACGTGACCGCCTAGGGGTAGCACCAATTGAAGAAAAGCTTGTCCAACATCAGTTGAGGTGGTTTAGCCATGTCCAAAGAAGACCTTCAGAGGCATCAGTGCATTGTAGAGTCCTAAGCCAAGCTAATAATGTGAGGAGAGATAGAGGTAAACCGAAATTGACATGAGGGAGGTAATAAAAAGATATTTGAAAGCTTGAAATATATCTAAAGATCTATGTTTGAATAGGAGTGCTTAGAAAGCAGCTATTAATGTGCCTGAACCGTGACTTGCGGCTCTCAGTAGGTTTCAACTCTAGCCTACCATAACTTGCTTGGGACTGACAGGTTTTGTTGTTGTTATAATGAGGTGCAGTCAGAGACCTTTTCCTGGGTCCTCTAAGCAGTCGTGAATGAAAAAAAATGATTTTCATAGAAATTTCAGATTGTCAAGGAATCTTCCATCTCTACGCAAGTTTGTAGCTCCGCATGGATCACATACTTATGGTCTATCGTAAGAATCAAATATTTTTACATCTCTGTCATTAACATCACTATTGAGGTGTTCTCCATTTTTAGCTAAAATTTGCTACCGGACATGCCAAGTGACCCCTCTTTGCTAGCGGACATGCAAAATTTGACGATTTGCTGGTGGACACTCTGGTTCCTTACAAATTTGCTGGTGGACACCCCATCCAATAAAATATTAATTTCTAGCTGCTGTGGAGAGAGAAGGACGGTAAAATGTCCAATTTGCCCCTGCCCTTTCTTCTACACCTCTTTCTTCTTCCCCATCTGCTCCGAGCAGCACCGCGTCCTCCCTTCTCCCTCTCCGAACAGCACCTCGGCCCCACAGCGCCACCGTCGACGGCGGTTGCGCCCCTCCTCCGAGCCGCACCGCGTCCTCCCTCCTCCCTCCTCCCTCCCCCTCCAAGCAACACCATGGCCAAGCAGGGCCACCACCGGCATGGCCACCGTGGCTGCTGCTGCTGGGGCGGCGCGGCCACCCAGGCTTCCTCCCCGCGTCCACCGCACCCGTGTGGACCGAGCCTACACCTGCCAGCCGCACCTGCCCTCGCTCGATCTGTTCATCCCGCACGCGACGTGTCAGAGTTGCGGCGCCATTGACGGCCTGCACGTGAAGCTCGCGACCCGGCTCTCTCCTCCTCTCCTCCGCCCCTATAAAGAGTGCCCTCGGACTCCTCTCTGCTCGCTGAGTCTGCCTCGCCCTCCCGAGCTCCCTCCCACACCACAACGACCACACTTGCCACCGCGGCCGCCATTGATGACCGGCTTTTAAGTTCCGCGACCCGGCCATCCTTCCAATCCCCGCCCTATTTAAGGGAAGCACCGGCACCGCGATCGCACGCCGCCACCACTCCTTCCCTCCTCGAGCCTCCTCTCTTGCTCCAGTGCCTCGAATCGCCGCCGCCGCCATGGCCGACCACAGCTCGAGATCATCGATCTCCCCGTGCACACCTCCTTTCGCCACCCTGTTTCCTCCATTGGAACCGCAGTGGCATGGCACGTCCGCCCAACCCCTCAAAGGCCTCGATTCAAAGCCGCAGCACCTTCCCCTGTCCTCGCCGGAGCTCCAAGCCGAACCATCGCCGTTGCTTCTGTCTTCCTGGACACGAAGGCAGCGAACCACGACCGTCCGATCTGAGATGGGCAGTTCATATCCTATGTTGACCACCGGTCAACCAGTCAAAGGTGAGGCCACATCACCTATATGAGCCAATCCTATCGCGCCACGTAGCCGTCAAATGCCACATCAGCTGAAGTCAAGCCCAGTGATCACAGTTTTACCGTGCGTGGGCCCCGCGCCGCCGTGGCCAGAGGAAGGAGACCAAGGTAGAAGAAACATCCAGGGGCAGAAAGGACATTTCCCGTGCTTCTCTCTCCTCGAAAGCCCGGAAATGAATATTTTATTCGGTCCGGTGTCCACGAGCAAATTTGTAGGGAACCAGAGTGTCCACCAGCAAATCACCAAATTTTGCATGTCCGCTAGCAAAGAGGGGTCACTTGGCATGTCCGGTAGCAAATTTTCCCCCATTTTTACTAGAGGATGTATCTATTAAGTCTTTACTGCAGCCAATACTAATAGCGCACACATTGTCTCATTTATCATCATTCTTACGAAATGACCTGTTTGCAGAGCTCATGGGGAATCCAGTTACATCAAATTGATTTGAAGGATAACAGGATTACGGATATGTTGAGTGATAGTATCAATTATGAAAAATGAGAAATTGAAGTTAAGCCACTCAATTATAGCTTGGTACTTCTGAGCTGCGCACAGGTTGCAACCAAAAGGTAGAAAGAACATACGACGAACATGCATTTCGACTGAAAAAAAGCTGACCTCCCGACGCTCTCACAAGGTTGGTAACTGCCACCATACGGATATGGCCCTTGAGGAACAATCGCCAACCCTTCTGCAGCTGCAACCCAACACCAACAGTTCCGACAACTCCTTCATCAGTGGGGGAAAAAACGGAAGAAAAAAAAAAGGAAGACTATGTGGCGGCTGGTGGGGGAGAAACAGAGCACCCCCGGCGGCGAATTACCATTTGGATGCAGAGACGATGGGGCGTGAGATGGGGATGTTAAACTAAAACAGGATCCCTAGGCATAGAACTAGCATGTCTTCTTACACTTAGATAAACCATGAGTCCTAGAACATCTACTAGTGCAGTAACAGTAGATAGAACGAGAGAGAGAGGGGTGAAGGGTGCAACCCATCGGCTGCCTTGGAGGAAGATGGGCTCGCCATCGCAATGCTTGGCGATAACCCGGTGGCAGTGCAGTAGCGGTGTCGTCCGGGGTCGGTGTAGACGCTGCGGGGCAGCCCGGCGTCGTAGCAGTCCTCCGGCGTGATGCAGAGGCGGTGGCGGCGCTTCTCGTCGCTCGCAGCGCCCCCTCTTTGATCGGCTAGGGTTTAGGACTGTAGGTGGGGTGCTAGGCGGCTCAGGCGAACCTCGTGACTCGAGCGCCCCGGCCCCCACCTCCTATTTATAGCGCTGTGCGACGGGGGTCCACCAACCATATTAGAGTTGGACGCCCCCGATCAGGGCGCGGATCCAAGGGCCCAATAGACCGCCGTTGGGTCTATTGGTGGAGATCAACTAACATTCTCCCCCTTGATCTCACTTATAACTTAAACTTAACTTACTTACTTTCTCTTGTTCCCATTCCATCACAGATCAGTGCATAGAGCGTGTCTCATCGTCACGGTCAGTTGCCTTTAGATTAAACAGCTACAATGCATATCTCTGTTTTGAAACAGATTCTTAACTAAGCCCTTATTGTCCAGGAATTATAGGCTTTCCCTTAAACCCGTGCCGACTACGTGTTCTCTGAACACACTGGGTGGTAAGTCTTTTATAAGCAGATCCGCAGGGCATCTTTTCTGTTTTTATGTGCTCAAGACTAATTATATGATTCCGGACTTTATCTTTCACAACATAATACTTTATGTCAATGTGTTTGGCAGCACCACTTGACTTATTATTGTGAGCATAACATACTGCTGGATTATTATTGTAGTATAACTTAAGTGGTTTATGTATGTCGTCTACCACTTTCAACCCGGGCATGAATTTCTTTAGCCAATTCACCTGCCTTGTGACCTCATAACTTGCTACAAACTCGACATACATTGTGGACGATGTAGTGACGGTTTGCTTTGAGCTTTTTCATAATATAGCTCCTCCTGCGAGAGTGAATATGTACCCTGACGTGAACTTTCTTTCATCTCCCGTATAATCAGAATCTGTGTACCCCTCTATGTGCAGGGAATCAGATCTTCTGTACGTTAGTATGAGACCCTTCGTATCTTGCAGGTAACGCAAAACTTTCTTTACTAATTTCTAGTGTTCTATTCCTGGATTACTCTGATATCTGCCAAGCAACCCGGTAACAAATGCTAAGTCAGGGCGAGTACACACTTATAAACTTCCGACAGATGAACTATATGGAACCGCTTTCATTTGATCGATCTCATAGGTTCCTGGGACATTGAAATTATCCATATATGTCGCCCTTGACTATGGGAGCAGGTGATGACTTACAATTTTGTATACTATATTTCTTTAGAACTTTTTCTAAGTATGCCTATTGTGATAGTCCTAAAACCCGTTTTTCTCTATCTCGGTGAATCTCTATTCCTAGGACGAATGAAGCTTCACCGAGATCCTTCAAATCAAACTTTGAGTACAAGAACTTTTTTGTTTCTAGTAGTAGACTAACATCACTGCTAGCAAGCAAGATGTCATCCACATACAAGACTAGGAAAATGTATTTCCCATTCTTGAACTTTGCATAAACGCAGTTGTCCTCTATATTTTCTTGAAACCCAAACTTTCTTATTGTACTATCAAACTTCAAATACCACTATCTTGAAGCTTGCTTTAATCCATAAATGAATTTCTTCAGTGACATCCCATGCGTTCTTTTTCTTCCACAACAAAACATTTCGATTGTGCCATATTAACGTTTTTCTCCAAATCCCCGTTTAGGAATGCCGTCTTTACATCCATCTGATGTAATTCTAAGTCGTAATGTCCTACAAGCGCCATTATGATTCTAAATGAATCCTTACATGAGACTGGAGAAAATGTCTCATTGTAATCTATGCCTTCTCTTTGCGTGAAACCTTTCACCATAAGTCGCGCTTTAAACCTTTCTATATTCCCTTTGGAGTCATGTTTAGTTTTGTAGACCCATTTACAGCCTACTGTCTTGACTCCTTTAGGAATTGTTTCTAATTTCCAAACTCCGTTGGTTTTCATTGATTTTATTTCATCTTCCATGGCTTCAAGCCACTTGGATGAGTGAGCGCTTCTCATGGCTTCTTCAAATGAGGTGGGATCACCCTCCATTTGAAATTCCTCACTTTCATAAACTTCATAATCATCAGGAATGGCTGATCTCCTAACTCTTTGAGACCTTCTAGGGGCCTCGCTAGATGATGCTTGTTCTATTTGAGGCTGTTGTTGCTCTTCCTCATGTGTGATAATGGATTCTTGGGGATCCTAAAGGACAGGTTCCTCATGCTCATTCATTGTTGCCACAGGAGAACTAACAACAACAGGTGTTGTTACTATAGTGTCTTGCATTGTTGGTACAGCAACAACAGGTAGCGTGAAAAATGGTTCCTAAACCATAGGAGTGGGCACGTAGACCCGCTTCTCTTCAAAACTAATTTCTCGCGCTACCATGCTCCTCCTGATCATATCATCCTCCAAGAAGACAGCATGTCTTGTTTCTACAAACTTCGTTTGTTTGTTAGGACAATAGAAGCGATAACCTTTTGACTTTTCTGGATAGCCAATGAAAGGGCAGCTGGCTGTCTTGGAGTCCAGCTTTCCTATGTTTGGGTTAAATACTTTTGCCTCAGCAGGACAACCCCACACACGTAAATAGTTTAGTGAGGGTTCCTTTCCTGTCCACAACTTATACGGTGTTTTGGGCACCAACTTACTTGGTACTCGATAAAGAATATGAATGGCGGTTTTTAATGCCTCCATCCATAAACTTATCGGTAAGGTAGAATAACTTATCATGCTTCTCACCATATCCATTAAGGTACGGCTGTGTCTTTGAGCTACTTCATTCTGCTGAGGCTCGCACGGTGTAGAATACTGGGCTACTATGCCATTTTCCTATAAGAACCTTGCAAAGTGTCGATAAAAGATGATCGGCAGTCCACCGAGGGGTATCCCGCGATGGTAGAATGATCGGTGGAGGTGTGCGTAATCAGGAACGAGATGGTGACACAAGGCGCAGAGACAGCGATTTAGACAGGTTCAGGCCGTCTGATCGACGTAATACCCTACGTCCTGTGTCTTTGGTGTATTGTATTGAGATGTAGTAGATAGATCTTGTCCACTAGGGGACCCTTGCCTCTCCTTATATACTCTGGAGGGGTAGGGTTACAAGTAAAGTATTCTATTTTGTACTATACAATAGCTTGTGGTGCATGCCGAGTAGCGCCATGCACGCCTTGATCTTGTGGGCCGGGCCACCTCTGATGGTGCGGCCCATGTCTTGTCTTATGGATACCGGGGGCCATACCCCCACAGCTAGTCCCCGAGCCTAACAGTAGGTGACACAATCACGTGGTGCCAGGGTTAGAAAGTAGAAGACCAGCCGAGCAGGCAGCCAGTTCCCGGACATAGCCTCGAGATAAGAAAAGCGTACATTCACCGCAAGGTGAAGTGTGCCCACTTAGTCCCTGAGCATGCTGGAAGATGAAGAATGAATCTTGTAGCAGGGTCAAAGAAAAAGAAGTCTGAAAGCTTGCCGACGTGCTACCCAAGATCAGCACCCTGGTCCAAACAGCATGGAGCAGCTTGATAGCACACCGATGAGATGTAGCAAGATCCGACCACCAAGGGCGATGTCCGAGCACCGAGGAGTCTCCGGTGTAGCTGG